GCCCAAGTTAATTATTGGAGTGGAAGACAGCTTTTGGAGACTACAGCTGCTGTCAGAAAGCCGGTGCCTGTGAGGTCTCCTTCACAATGCGCATTCTTCAGCGCTGTAAGCCTGTCTGAAGGTCGGAATATCTGTGTGTGGCGTGCCGAGGGCTGGATGTGCTTCCCGCTCCTCGTGAGCTGGGAGGCACTGGTGGTTTGTATTTGAGGGACTGATGACAGCCAGAGCCTTCGGTCTCTGTACTGCTTTATTGATCCTGCACTGCCTGTGTCAGCCCAGAGCTGCTTCTACCTCATAGCTTTGGGAGGCCTGCAAAGAATGAGTTGGTGTTTACTCCGGTTCTGAATAGACAATTTTCCATTAGCGCAAACCACCGCTTTTCGGTTGCCTTGACAGCCCTGGCTGTGAGGTCAAGGGCTAACTGGGAGATGACCCCCCCTCCTTGCAGTGGTTTCCCAAGGCAGGGCACGCTGGTTGCTCGGCGTGCGTGGGAACAGCATACCCTGCTGCTGCCTTTGCTGTAGCTCAAAGAGGACGTCTGCCTTGAAAGCTGTCGGACGCCTTCCAACAGCCTTAAACTTGCTCAATTCTGAAAGGAAAGAGGAAGCATCAGATCCACGAGCAGGTTTGCCAGCAGCCACCTGCCTCTCCTGGGTGGAGAGGGGTTTGCGTGTCTGTCGCCCGCTGTGCTGTCCTGTACTTAGCTCGGACTGGGACTGCCCTGAACTCGTTCTCTCTGGTGTCCGAATGTTTTACTTCAGCTGGTATTGACTGAGGCTCTGGAAACTTTCTTCACTGATTCCAAAATAAAAGTTCAAATCCTCTCGGTGTATTGTAGGTGCCTTGAAGTGTTCATATGATTTGCTTTTGGAACGTGCTCTTGGTTTTTATTATTTTGTCTTGTCTTTTCGTGGGGGGAGGCAGGGGTGCCTGTATTCTTCCAGTCTGCAGGAGGTAAAAAAAGCTGCTTTACCACACGCAGCGCTGGAGCAGAGGGTTTAATTCCTCTAGTAACCCTTTGCATATTCATTCATTCACGGGAAATCAATCCAGAAGACCTGTATCTGGCTTCACACGGGTTCTACCCCTTATTCTACTGCCATAGCATAATTTACTACGTGGGCTAGAGGAGAGCGAGCTCAGAAGTTTGGTAAAAGGGGCTAGAGAGCCTTGTTTGTAAGTTAATTCAGTGTAAACCAGAGAGACTGTAGGTTGTTACATGTCGGTGCACTGATGGCTTCAGAAGGCGTCCGGGTAGGGGCGCAGGATGAGTACAGCGCTGAATCCGGGTAAAACGTTGGCAGCGCCTGAAGAAACCAGGGGTGCAGCACAGCTGGAGAGCAGCGAGCCGCTTCACCCTGCCGTCTTTGAAAGGAGTGAGAGTGTGGGGTAGGGGAAGCTGGCCTTCGGCTCGCTAAAACAGGAGTCAGGGTGGGGGGCTTGAGTCACCAGAGTTTTCCTCCACCGCTTCTCACGCTGTCAAAGCACGGTGGCTGGTGGAAGGGGAAGGGAGGAAAGCCAGTCCCGCTGACCTTGGTGAGCGTCCTTGGCTGGTTTAGCGCGAGTTGCGCGTTTTGTCGCCTTTCACTGTGGAAGCTGTGAACTCTCAGCCCGCTTCTCGGTTACAGCGGGGGGGAAGGGATGGGAAGAGCTCTTTCTAGGTGGTTAGAGATGAGGTGCCGGACTTGAGCCCGTGCTGTGATGGCGCGCAGCAACATCCACCTCCTGTTTCATCCGCGCGCAGGATGCCAGCAGCTTCTGTCCAGGCAATTCTAGGATCCCGAGAACTAATGATGATCCGTGCCATTAAATACGCATTTTCACTGTGTTTCCAGGCCAAGAACAGAGAACTCCTGAAGCAAGCAGCTGCCCTATCGAAGGGCAAAAAGCCTGAGAAGTCGGGAGCAATAACCTCCCCTTAAAACCAAACCCCCAATCTGGGAGCTTTCCCCAGCATTAGCCAAGGAGTCTAGGAGGCCTGCCTGATCGCTGGAAGCCAAAACCTCAGTGTTGTCACTATCCCACTGCCGTGGACTCGATGGAAACGCCTGGTGGGTGTTGCCTTTCGACGGCATGCTTGAGCGTGTCTGGTTTCCACCTCCGTTGAACACCGGCCTGTATCGTGGTGATCCACGGGGAGAGGTCCCAGCCATCCTAAATCCCCACCCCCCCGCCCCCGAAGTACTGCTTTCTGGAAGAAGTTTTTGCCTAACCAGTTGCTACCACTGCCGACCCTTTCTGTTAGCAAACGGGAACCTCCTAAATCCCCCCCCCCCCGCCCCCGAAGTACTGCTTTCTGGAAGAAGTTTTTGCCTAACCAGTTGCTACCACTGCCGACCCTTTCTGTTAGCAAACGGGAACCTGCTGCGTTAGAGACTTCTTGCTGGTTCCCAACGTGCTGCTGTGAGGCAATGGCCGCGGCCGGTTGTTACACAGATAAGGCGGGAGCCGCGTGTGGCAGGAGCTTGGGGTTTGTTTTTTGTTTTTTTTTTTTTTTTAATTCAGATCCATTATTAGAATAAAGAAATATACAATGGATATGATGCATGCAGGCCAAGCAGTAATGCAGTAAATAATATATAATTCTGGTCTATACTGTGTTTTTGTGATTTCACTTATATTTTAAGTCCAGGATGTTCAATGATGAGTACTGTTTTTGGATGTACAAGATGAAATGCTGTAAATATTCAGTGTTCAGAAATGCTGAGTCGATACCCTTCCCCCCACGCTCAATGCTCCAGCCACTTTTCAGATTTCTTTTTTAAACTAGTCAATAGTTTCTTCTCACACGTCTCTCACTGGCT